CTGCCCAGTCAGGAGTATTTTGCATGACCAAAATTCAATAAAAAACTCTCCTTCCAAAACAAAAACATGTCCACCGCAATGTTGTGTCCAGCATAATTAAAATAAAGCCAAATATATCAGCAACCATTTGTCAAAATGCAGATGTGCTTAATTTTATGTCAACAAAAATCGAATGCTTGAAAAAACAACACATAACTTCTAATTCCATGTCAACATATCTGTTTGCTTGTTCACTACAAGACTTGACAGTTTGCCTGTATAACGTCTTCACCTGCTGTTCAGATCATTAACACAACGATAAAATGGGAACCGTTCAAAGTAGAGCTGAGAATGGGACACGTGCCTCCTTGTTTAACAAAGATCTGAAGAGACGAGACCGCCAAATGCAGTCAGACTGAGCTGTAGTGCCACAGCAGCAGGAGTCCCCTAAAGCGTTTAATTAAATATTAATCTGACATCTGACTCTGTCTGTCTGTAATCTCCACAACTCCACTCCCGGGATACTGCATAATCCTTGGCTGGAGACGGTGAGAGCTGGGATTAAGGAGGTTGACATACCAATCCCTGCCTGCCAAACATCCAAAACCATTCCCACTTTCAAACCAGGAAAAAATAAAACCCTGACAAGCAAATCACACAACATAAATAATAAACTGACCATCAACATGAACCAACCAAAGCATAGAAAAAAGATGAATAAATGTGCAGTTTATAGCATGTTGAGCTACACTATCTGTCATCTATTTGTGCACACAATGTATTATGTATTCCCACTAACACAATATGATATGGACTTTTTTTATACAAAAACATCTGTACAGCACACGTTGGACAGCTGTTCAGATTGTTCCACATATCAGATAGCCTAAAAACATTTAACTATTTTACGCTCTGTTGTATATATGATATGACAAATGGCTTGTATATTTGTTCAGCGTCTTTGTGCAAATGGAGTGGGAAAGCTGCGCCACATAAGAGGCTCCGACTGAACTCCCAAGATGAGTAATAAAGAGAAAATATGAGAAGGAAAAAAAAACACACACAAACACAGATGAAAACCAACAGAGGACTCTGTAACAACAGAGCAGCAGACGACGAGGCTGGGAGCTGAGGTTAGACTGACAGATTCCTCTGCAGGGCAAGCCCGAAACTCTCCCGGGGGACGCTCGGAGTAGCTCTTTCTATAGGCTTCATACGCAACAAATCCAACACAGATTGAGGGAGGATGATAAATCATGAAAGGAAGAAAGAGCGAAGCAAGGAGACAGAGAATCAGCGTGATGGTTGTTTATGGTTGGAAGGCCTCCGGCTCTTATTCCCTGTCATTTGCTGGGTGTACAGTTGAAAGACAATCTCGGGTGCATGCCTGCAGTTTCTATTTTGGCTGTTTTGGTTACTTTTGTGTTTTTTTTTCAAAGCTGAAAATACCTTGACATGCCCATCTTTGTATTTTCTAATGAGTTTTGTGACTGTCTTCAAGTCTGTAGCTTTGAGAGAATAAATGGAGGTTTGCTACAGAAGACAGCTGTCGGCAATAAAAAACACAAGTCAAGATAAAAAAAAAGTTGGATCCATTAAGACTCTGCTGAGTAGTATTTTTAAAAAAAAACTTAGTGAACTGCCAGGGCTATAAGGAAACTACAAGTCAGTGTGTTTCTTTGTGTGTGTGTGTGTGTGTTTCTGTGTGTGTGTGAGTAGTGCTCCAGTAGTCTTTACCCTCGCTCCAGTGAGCCCTTGCTGATAGCACACTAAATCAGACAAGCTCTGCAGTGCTGGACTAACTTGTGCTCCTTCTCCCCCATCCCTCACCCCTGCTGGCTTTCACGTCGCAGGCTGCGTACAGATCTTCGTCTCTCCTCGTCTCTATCACCCGAACAACAACGTGCCCTTTATTCCGGGATACAACGACCCTCATCTCGCACCGTCCTTACCCCGCTGCCATTTTTCCTCTCCCCCTCACTGCTTTCACCTTCAGTCCTTCCCTCATCATCGGCTTTATCCCACACTGCCGAGGAGCCGCAGCCTCGCCATGACGGTGCCGCTGACACAACGCCAGCTCAGCAGCCGCAAGCCCTCATGAAACGCACACAAACACAGCCTGCATGGACTCTACGTGCAGACCGAGGCTCACAAGGGCTCTTCAGGTTGCACTTAGTGTCTCTGGAAAAAAACACCCCTGTGTGTGTGTGTGTGCGTGTCAACATGGCTAGATTAAACACAGACGCACAAATGGACGTTTTCTCTGCATTTGAGCTTTCCTTCCTGTTACCTTTCTTTGCCTTGAAGCTGTGTGGGTGGGAGTGAAGTCATTTGAGGGTGAGGGAACCTCAGTATGTCAGGTGTGGTTCCCAGAAAGACATTTAAGCACAATGACTAGTGAAAATGAAAGCAAGATTAACCTGCCTGTGGGTGGGATTTACAGGGGTATTCCACAGTTTGTGCACAGAAAGAGACCAACTGAAGTAGTAGTGTGAAGTAAACTGAACATAAATCAGCTATATAAATGTATTATTATTTTGATTAGTACAAAACTGGTTGGTCACAGAGTCCCACTCTTACACAGGTCATCAGAGAACAGCTTTGTCCTCCCTCCCCCCATCAGACATATTTATCCCTTTTAATATTTTCTGGCTATGGTGGGCACAGCTCCATGCCCCCGCTGAGGCTCTGTGATTCCCACTATCCTTCTTATGGTAGCATTTTCACAGAATTTGAACTCTGGAAGTCGAAGCTGGGAGGACAAGATAAGTGGCTTTCCCTGGAAGGATTTTGGTCGCGTCTGGGGGAGAAAAAAATGATTGAAAATATCCTTCCATGTCACGCTGGCTCCCTGACAAAGACACATGCTCCGTGTTTTGCACCGGAGTGGAAAAGGTTTAGCACCCTTTCTCTCCAATGATTTAATGCGGGTAAAGGGATCTAATGCAGCCCATGCATGAGGGGAGATAAAAACAGAGACGGATGCAGGGTTGGATGGAGGTGCATCTGTGGGTCACTTACTTTGACACTTGAGCACATGCGCCGTGATCAGCCGGCTGCAGGCGTCGCACCAGTCCTGCTTCACCGGCTGGCTCCGGAACCGGTGGCCCTCTCCCTTCTCGCTCCTCACCCGCGGGTCCATCTCCCGGGGGAAGATGGACCAGGCCTCCCTGCGGTGGGGCTCGGTCCGGGCCAGCTTGACCACTCCGGTCCTGCCCTGCGTCAGCCGCTCCAGGGGCGGGCCGCTGCGCTCCCCGGCGGGGGGCGGCCGGTCGTCCCCGTTCCGGGAGTCCCGTCTCCCGCGGGGCGCGTCCCGGTGGTGCCGGAGCGAACGCCTGTGCCGGACCGGAGCTGGTCCGGCCGACGAGTCGCCCGTCCGGCCGGAGTCACAGCCGCTTTGACTTTCCTGTGTCCCAGCGGTGACCCCCTGCTGGGCATCCATTCCGTCCAGGTTGGCGCTACGTGGCCGTTGGGGGGCGGCCGGGGCCCCGCATCCCTCCCCGGGGACCGTCCCTCCTCCGGCCACCGGTCCTCCGGCCGGTCCGGGAGACCTGGGATGGGTTGGCGAGTCCTCCTTAGAAACGGCCGGACCGGACTCTGCACCGCTCCTGACGGTCAGCATCCTCTCCCAGGACAGCTTCCTCTGGGTGGGTTTCTTCTTGCTGCTGGACAGCTTGAGGAGCAGGATTTGCTGTTCCGCTGCTGAGTCCAGCCGGTGCGGACCGGGCTGCTGGCCCACGAAACTCACTGACGCCATTATTCCGCTGACCCCCTCCGACAGCCTGCGCGTTTGGCACTTTCCAAGAGCGTGTCGCCGCTCGTGTTTTCAACTCCGTGCCCCGACTGTAAACTCAACTCCCGCCCCGCGACAAACGTGTAGTAGTGATGACGCAGGGGGGGGATCAACAGCTTTAAATGTCGCGAGCGCGCACCGCGTTAACGAGCCGGGAGCGCGCGCTAATCCTCGAGCTTCCAGCAGTGCGGTTTGGCTTTATGCGAATTATTATTAGGAGCTCTTCACAAGAGGGCGTTCAGGTTTTTGACTAACTGTAAACCGGGGTTTAGCAAAGGCTAAATATCGCTGTTACCAGATTACAAAGAGAGAATAAACCAAGAAACAAAAATCACATCAAAGTGGAGGGATAACAGAGTCTGGATTATGAAGTATAATACGTAAAATGTGAGGATGGCCCGCTTAAACAGGACATGCCCTGTCAACATTATAGTTCATCAAAGGTTAAAGGGCCTGTTGTTCACCTTGTGGACTTCACTGACATTTCAGCGTGAAGAGGCAGCAGTGAGTTTCAGTGTGAAACCAACAACAATGTCACACTTGTTTGTGTGGGCCACAGAAAATATCAGACTTTCCAGTTTGCCAAAAGCAGGTCATATGACTTACGAAAAAAACCACTAAGTCAGTTGAGTTTACCCCCCTGACTAAGCTGAGAAAGTCCACCGACACCCACGTCTCAGGGGAATGCTTTCACTTTCAGCTCTGCATGTCACAATGCCTCACGTTTTGGTTTTTAAGAGCTTCGCTATTTGCTTTTACATCACTGTATGTTTTCCTGACAGAAAAACACCAGGAGTAAACCTAAACAGGACAGCCCGGATGTTCACTGTCAAAAGTCAACATGTTAAATCTCAAGTAAAGGCAAAGATGTGAAAGTGACAATTATGTTAAAAAAGCATGTATATGTATGTGTATATATGAACCTTATACATTCATTATGTAGGGGACTTCCCCAGGACCTCTCTGGGTAATGTCATACTGGAATGCTATTTTTCTATTTTAGCCCATTACAGTTCTGTGGAAGAAAACCTACTGTGCTATGGACAGGGTTTCCCCAATTGTGCTTCCTCTATTTTGAAAGAAATTCCATGGTAAAAAAATGTGGAGGGGACAATTTTTGCTTGTAGTTGTAGGTAGTATCTCTAGGATTAGGCCTTAGGGTTATGTTTGTCATATTTTGTGTACTCAAGATCTTAAAGATTCGTAGTGTTAATTAGAAAAATAATGCTTTTGAAGTCCAAAAGTCTTTTTATTCAAGACATTTAAAATAAGTTTGTATTTTAAATGATCACTTATTATATGTTTATTTGCAACCAAAACCTTTTAAAAAGTACAAAAGAAAAAAATGAGTCTTCCTATAATCCCAAGTAACAGTCACGGGCGGGAACTTTAATTTCCGAAGTATTTCAGCAAGAGTCCGTTGAAGGCTAAGTTGGTGCTTCTCTTACTCAGCAGCCATCCCTGACCTGTTGTTGGGCTGCTTGCTGTGCCCCTTTTCCTGCCCTCTCGACCCCCAGGGGCTGGGGGGAGATGGCCACTCTTCCTGAGTCTGCTTCTCAAAGAGCTTTCTTCCTGTTCAGCTCAGGATGGAAGACTGAATTGAAGAGAACCTTAAAAGCAATGTGTTGGTTTCCTTAGCTAATCTTTTCCTTTTTGAGGAGGTTCTGTATGAATTGGACTGATTTAAAATTTGGTTTGATTTAACTGGATTAAAACTTGTATTGCATTTAAAAATGAATTGGCATGAATTTGACTACTTCTTCAAGTTGTACCTTTCAAGCCAAGATTTAAAAATGGCATGCTAGTTTACAGTCCCAGGAGAAGCCAGTGCTTATTCTGTGGTAAAACAGGAAATGCATTCAATTAGTTTCAGTTTATCATAATGGCAGCCCATTAAAAAAATCCAATATCGCTAAAGGCATTAAACTGCTGTACTCAGCCAGCACACACAAACACTGAATAAAAATCCATCAATAGTCATCTCCCATCTCTCTGTGCATCATAGCATCCAACTAAAATGCTTTTTCATTGATAGTCTGCATGCACTTTGCATAAAAGACTGCAGTCGTTTCTTAAAAGATGTTCCACCGTATTGTTCATCGATGGCACTTAAATGAAATGATTATCAGAGATGTGAATTTTTGAGGTAAGATCCAGGGTTGTGGCATTCCATGTCACAGTGTGGAGGGCCTGTTCGGATTCAGCTTCAGGGATGCTGCCGAGTTAACTGCCCCAAGACTACGGGACCAAAGAAATACAATCAATACCATTCCACGGAAGGGTTTAAACAGAGAACACATGAGGACAGGAAGGTGTTTGCTCAACTGACCTCTCAATGATGCTGTTGTTACACTGTAGTTCTCGCACCAAAATCTCCATTTCTCCCCTTAAATGGTGCATCCTGCAACAAGCCAACATCTGTCATCAGGTAAATTACCATTTTATCCACACACACACACGCCATCTTTCTCACTACACTAAGATCTGTTGATCTTAGCCTGAGCTTAAAGCAAAGCCTTACCTTAGCTGTAACCTCTTCTTACAGAGCATTAACCCCTAACCTAACACCCCATCACACTTTTCCCCGAAACCTATTAAAACCCCAACAGATTCACAAGACAGGTCGTCATAGAAACCATTGCCTGGGTGGAAAATGTTTAACATGAAAACACAATGAGGTAACAAAAACAAGTGGATACACACACACACACCTGGATACCATCTGGTCCTTGTCCCTGGATGCTATTCCTGGCTGTTCCTCTCTCTTAGACTGCAGAGTGTGAAGGATTCTGTCCATGGCCTGAGGAGGACCGATAAGACATTACATCTTCACTGAGAAGCATTACATGACTAACATCCTGTCTCAGAAAAATCTATTGCACCAAACGAGTAATCCAAAACCAGCAGCTCACACATGAACGCCGGCCGGTGTGTTTGTGAAAGCCGTAAACAGAGGAAAACCAGCTCTTTACACAGATGGAAGTAACAAGGTTCAAACAAGGAAACCACAATGAGAACCATGAACAAATATGTCCACCTTAGTCTGCTGCTGCTCATTCATTTCCAAGTCTCCAAACAAGTCTGAGGAGAAAGAGGTGAAGTCCTGTAGTCGGGTCTGCATTTCTTGCATGAGGCTACAAATACAAAAATAACAAAAAACTAAATCAAAGATACAGCTTAAAAACATCCTGCTGTTGGCCATAACTAAGAGTGTCACCACACTTAAAGCAAAAGAAAAAAGAAAAATGAAGGAGTTCAACATAGTATGTTAGGAAAGGTAGATTATTCTGGATATTCTGGCCTATGCTAGTCATCACATATGTGTTGACCACATGGCCGAACGTCTATCCTCTCATTTTAATCATGACTGAGGAACAATTCTAGAGTTGAAAAGTTGAAAAGTCCAACTTGAGCGTTGACTCTGACCTGCTCCATGTCCTGGCTGAAGCCAAGAGATCTTTGTATCTCTGCACGCATTCCTCTCTGAAGAGAGATTTCACTCTCTTAATGTGGGATGACAGGTGGATCCTGGCGATGTGGAGAGAAAAGCTGATTACACAGGAGCTGAGACACATCACACTCTGGGACACGAGCCGTGTGGGCAAACAAATCCAAAAGCTAAGGTTGCTACTCACTTCTCAAACTTGTGGATTTGCTCATCATTATACGCCAACTCTGTGGTAATCATAAGAAAAGTCAACAGAGCAAAGCAACAAAAAACACCAGATTGATGTTGACTTATTTGGATTTTGGCACACTTTCATTAACACACGTGAGCTATCAGTGCAGGCTCTATGCATTCATTTAGGGGGAATTCACACCACTATTACTTCAGGTTCCAGCAGCAGTGCTGCTTTTTTTTTGTACATGAACTCAACAATAACGAGACGGTTGCTCACTGCCGGTAAGTCGGTCTTTTCGATAATGCTGATGAATTGTCATTATCTTCTGCAGCAGCATCTCCATCTTCTGGCAGCTGTGGGAGCAAAGTGGGCAACTTATAACCAGCAAAAAACCTTTAGTTTGAGCCTTTGAGAGCATGTTCTCCCACCTCTTATCGTTGGCCAGAGTCTCGGCCAGCTTGGCCTGCTCTATCTGAAGGAGGTTCAGCCTCTTTTGGAACTCTTGGATTCCAGCTGTGTAAATGGGCAGGTGTTCATGCAGCTGTGAAGGCAGCAGTGACAGATTTGTGGATTGTTAACATTTAAATGAACTAAAATGATGTTGATTTAAATCCACTTGCTTTGATCTGTTTGCAGCTCTGTTCTAAATAAAGTGTAGTTCTACTGTTCTTAACAGGTCAGAGGAATTCTGGACGTGACATTGGTAGGTTTATATCTGATTAAGTCCCTGGGTTGCACTCGCCTGCAGCAGCTTTTGATTGCTATCCCCCGAGCTGTGATTTTCTGTGGAGTAAAGGCCTCTGAGAGGCATCACACATATAAGAAAGAAAAAAAGAACACAGGTTAAAAATTAGAGCTCTATTAGGTCAGAATCAGTCAACAAGCAATATCCTCCAGAACAGTACAAATGGAAAATTAGGTTATAACAATCAGTAAGGCTCCAATAAAATCTTCTACTGTCAGTTGTAATGCTTAGCGCGCAAAACACAATGATTATGCAGTATTCATAAAAAATAGATAATGTACTTACAGTTTATGAATCCTGTGTTGAGTGTTGAGGCAGGACTGCAATCTAATGGAGATCTTTGTAATAATGTGCATGGCCTCTCTACACTCATCACGCAGCTTCAACCTAAGAAACAACAAAGTGCAAAGACAGGAAGCACTGAGGAGTGGTGAGGAGGGTTATCACCTGAAATCCAAGAATAATGTGAGAACCTCCCACTCGGTGTAAGGTCACTGATCCATTTCTGCTTTTCCTCACATGTAACTGTAGTATCCCTCCAGTAGCAGCTCTTTGTGCTTGTGAAGCAGCTGTATAATCGTCAGATACTGGTGGACCACACCCACAATTGCCTACAAATGAAAGGAGCCCAGAAATGACTAAGGTTAATGTTTCTGGGGCACAAAGTTAACAACCAAATTTACCCAACCTCTGGTACTCATAGGTCAGAAAACAAGCGGAGCAGCGGTACCTTGGAGAAACTATAGTCTGCCAAAACGTCAAACCTGGACGGGATGATGGGAGTCTCAGCTAAAAAAAAAAAAATCAAACAAAAAAACTGAAATTCAGTCAGGCGCATAAAAGGTAACTGATAGACCCGTATTGATAATGAAAATGAAAAAAGAAAGTTCACAGCGTGCGACAAAGATGGAGGAGCTTAGTTTTTCTTACGCTCTCTGAAAGGCAGGCTGGTGTGGGCTTCAGGCGCGTAGCTCAGCAGAATTAGAGGCCGAGAAGATGATGTACTGGGGAGGTTGACCACCTTCATGCTGCCCTCCAGGGGCAGTTCATGGCCCAGGTACATCAGGTGCTGCTGCTGGATGCCAATACCAGTCTGAGACGCCACCTCCTCCAAGAACACCGACACACTGTTGGAGAGGAAGGACAGTATATCCTATACCTTTATCTAGAAAGTTCACTTCAGCAAACAAAGCTTCATTTATTTATTCAATGTTTTTGACTTGTTGTCCAGGTCCAATAAAACAGGTGGAGTTGGCATGAGGTGGTGTTTGAATGGGTCTAAAAAGAATATAAAGTACCACAGGTGTATTCTATTAAAACTAGTGAGTGTGCAGACTTCTTTTATTACATTTACATTAAATGTAATCATTTTCCACTATTTTAGGCCAAGTAGTTGTATTCCTATCTGCTCACAAAAGCAGTTTGACTTAAAGAGAGAACCGACTGGATAGGCAGTGTTTATACATACACCAATTATCTCTGAACTTACCACCCCCTGTAGCAGGTTAGCTTTCCAGTGTAAGCTGCTACAACCCGATTAGAAGTAAAGCAGCTTCATGATACTAAAAATCCAGAGCAGAACCTGCAGTTAGCTCACAAAGCCACTAATCCTGCCCTGTAGGCCCTGCAGGCTCCTGGACCGGCTGGTCTGCAGGTGTCAAAGAACGGCCCGTGTCACACTGAGCTGTATCAAGATGGGAGACTTAATTCACCTCAACCCTCAGTGGCTTTAATTTCACGCCTGATCTGTAGTTAGCAAGACTGTCTGTGTTAAAGCGAACATTTCAACAGGCTGTTGATCCTGGCTTTGGGAAGTGACTTGCTTTTTAGAGTCAGCCTCAAACCATTTGAAGAAACCATTTGTGGCACAGAATCTTTTTTTTTTTGGCATCTTGAATTAGACATGAAGTCCGCAAAGGTGTCTGCCAGAGTCATTTGGAGGCGTGAAACAGAAAACGTTTAACTTTTGGCGGAAAATAAAGTAAATGAACCCGCTCAAGCCATCATCCAAGCCGAACCTTTTACATATGTCGTCATACAAAGCTAGGAGCCAAATCAGATCCATCCTTATTTTTGTTTCAGAGGGAAAAGTGAAAGAGAAAAAAACCCCCACAAAGGCCAATATACAACCAGATCATAGATATTACCCAAAACACAGCATTTATAGCAATTATGCTGCTCACACAGAATCATGACGACCAATTAGGAAAAGATTTGTGACTGCACCATTTAAGTTTCACCGCCGAGATCAAATTAAGGAGGAGAAAAAGTCTTTATGTAAGCACTTATAGGGCTGCAGATACAATCTGGAGCTCTTTACAAATTCCACGGGCATTATCACATTAGGCATTAATGCTCCGTTATTTCGCAGCCGTTGCAGAAACCTATCCTTAATGGTTGCTGGTGGACAGGATAAACGGTGCTGGAAATGGTGTCTGTCACATCTGCGGGGCGCTGCAGGTGTGACAGACTGTGTGTGTGTGCAGACGTACGTGCTGTAGTGGTGTATGTAGACGCAGTGGGCCGCCGCCTGCTGCAGGGAGAAGAGGTGGACGGGCTGTCGCTGCAGGATGTCTGTGGTGGCTGTGAAGAACTGGTCGAAACCCCAGCACCTCTCCTGGTCAGCCTCCATGATACCGGCCAGGACAGGGACCAGCAACACCCTCAGACCCCTGCAGCCAGTCACAGAAAGACAGGAAATGACACAGAGGGGTGGAAATTCAGTAAATTCTTGTTCTTGTTAAAGAATACTGGAAAAGCACACTTCACTATTTCTTTTTTTGTTAGATGACACACTGTGAGAGTTGGCAGCTGTGAGGTAGGTGGTAGCTCCACTCTATCGGTCCGCCTTCCACTCGCTGCACGCCAGCTACGGCTCCCATTGGTTTCTCCGTTGTAATCTTGTACCTGCACAGCAAAACACACAAGGCACGCGGAGGTTTGGGAGGCTGTCCCTGAAACCCCACCGACACCAGCGTCCCCCCGTGCATCGGCTTACATGGTGGGCTTGTTCTTGCGGGGTCCTTCAAAAGGCGTGAAGGGAAGTCTCCCAGTGGCAGCATGGTACAAGGTTACCCCTATACTCCACAAGTCCACACTCACGCCGTAGGATTTCTGATGAGGTTTACGCAGCACAGCGCGTTCGTACATGTCTGGGTGCTGCATTCAAATACACACACACACACACACACAGACAGCCCCAGGAGAAAAACACAAGCATGTCTGGTAAATGGTACAGAAGCATAGTGACTGATTGAGAGAAAGCAGTCAATGTTTTCTGTGCTATGTAGCCCAGACAAGTTCATGTTTACTGAAGTTTAGTGAAGTTAAAGTATGCACTCAGCAGACCGGTGGAGGACTCCCAGTTTAGAAAATGTAGAAAATGAAGCAAAGTAAAATGAACTTGCTGGGGAAAAGTCTCATACTATACAATAGTGGGGTTTTCAGAAATGGGTGATCAGAATAGATGTTTGTTTACATTCATTTAAACATCTGAGGCGGTGTGATTGACTGTTTACATTCATGTCATGTGCATTTTTACAAGGGCAGCAATGGATCCTGGGTGTGACGGTTCTGATGAGATTTCCTACAGTACAAAGAAGCAGTCTCTCCTACCAGGTACTCTTCCGTTCCATAAATCGACATGAACTTCTCATCATCTTCCAGCTCTCTCGCTGCCCCAAAGTCTGTCAGCTTGTAGACCGATTTGCCGTCCTCTCCGACCTGACGCATGATGTTCCCGGGCTTGATGTCCCGGTGCACCACGCCGTTTTCTCGCAGATGATTCATACCCTGCACTGTAGAGAGCACAAAGCTGTATTCGGCATACAGCGGACCCACAGGTGAGCAACGCCGTGAGACGGTGTTCCGTTTACTCACCTATGCACTGCAGCACGGTCAGGTATTCCGTCTCCGGCAGGCCGAAGGCATTTTCTGGCTCCTCGAGCAGGTTGAGCAGACTCCCTCCAGAACAGTACTCCATCACCAGCACCTTCTGCTTAGAATTCAGCTGGATGGAGGGAGATCAGGGTCAAGTTCAGGTACTTTTTCACACTTCCAAGTTCTTTTAGCAAACTTCAAACTGTTATACTGGTGTTGTCTGGAAATAAATCAAGTACAGGGATAGGCGTCGTGGTCGCCTCTTTGTTTTGCTCCTGTTGTGGTTGTCTTACCTCCTCCACAGCAAACAGCTTGACGATGTTGCTGTGGTTGAGCCTCCTGAGCATGTCGAACTCTCTCATTTGGACATCATGGGGGCGGATGTAGCTCAAAACGTTGAACACCTTCACCGCCACCAGTTCACCGGACCTCTGCCACATATGTCAGACAGGGCACGTCACAAGAGTGTAATCCACCACCACTTCAAACAGACCCGCTGCATTTGCTGACACGCCGGAGCGTCAGCAAACGCAGCCACATCCTTCTCTTATCTCTACCCATCGCCTTTTGAGCCAAAAAAAAAGCAGGTCGAGACTTCAGAAGTTGTGTGCGGGAGTTTCCTAAGAGACGTGATTGAGATGACGCACACTCCTCAGAGCCTACCTTGTTGCGTGCCTTGTAGACACTGGCAGTGGCCCCTTGACCCAGGACGTCCTGTAGTGACCACAGGTAGTTTGTGGTGCTGGCGGTCATCCCTGACATGCTGGAAGGACAAAGCAGGTGGAATCACTTGTGATGAAAGCCCAAAAAAGTGGAGCTACATGCTGCGATGCATCTATTCACTGAGACAAAAAACAATCAATAAAGTCATAAGGATGCTCTTGAGCTGTAAACAAGGTGTCTAACACTTGTTAATTCTTAATAAGTCTGACATGTTAATTAATTAGGTCAAACTAGTTGTCTATTTTTAGCTCGGTGAGTTATTTAAAAGTCAGTAGCGAAATCCAAAGGTTTTTTCAACTGAATTAAGTTTATTTTAGCTTACCTGAAGTCAGTTTAGCAATAATGCGTCCTTCCCAGTACGAAGTTTATACGACTGTTACTGTCAGCGACTGTCACTGCTGCGTTTACGGTAAAGCTAACATGACAGGAAAAACAAACGTTACCCTCCGCACTGACATCTAGCTGCTCTGTGTCAGAGCTGGTCATGAAAAAAAACCCGACACATACAACAGTCCCAACTCCTCTCAGTTTCTGTGGCGGATCTAAAACAGCTCATAAGTGCCGTGCTTGAAGGCGGAAGTGTTGGCTTCAAAAGGGGCGGACTGTTCTCTGTGGCGGAAATGGGAACTTGCGGCTTTTTCCGCTTTTTTTGTACCCCTAAACGCATCAGAGTGTGTATATGCACTTTATCCTGGTAAAAGTTTTAATATATGTTTCAGAGAAAAAATTTAGAGGTAAGTGTAGAGAAATATAAGACCTGTTGATCAAAAAGCACCTGAAAAAAAAATTCCTTTAATCTAGAGTTTCCAAAAAATGTCCTCAGCTTATACTCTAAGATGGTTGGTAACAATAACATCTACATTATTAATATTATTAACTTTGATAAATGAAAGAAAATACAGTGGTTGATGTTGAAGTGATTTTTAGTCTAATAATATATTTTTTCTTTTCAAGGTAAAAAGAGATAGAGAGAGAGGCAGACATGCAGCAAAGGGCCCAAATCTGGAATTTGACAAAGCCATCAGGGACAGTGACCTAAAAATAAAGAAGTAACTATATTGTGTGTTTTGACTTTTGTTTTTCAGATTGGCCATAATTGTGAATGAGACCATTTCTGATCCTGTCCATGCCACATGAAAGCTGGCAGAGGCTCCACATCAACTCCAACCAAGAACGGAATGAAGCGGGCAGTAAAAATGCTGTAAAGAAAAAGGTATTTAAGGTCGATATTGAGGATATTTCAAACAGAACACACAGATAAAAAATAATTATAGCAAGCCATTGTTTATTAAAAAACAGGTCTACTACAAGAACTACACATAGAATTATATAAGGCCTATTTGATTAAACTACTATTGCTATTACTGTACAATACTGTACCAAAAAAGTGTACCTCTGTAATGTACAACATTGTATATACAAAGTACATCTGAACACAGGATTCTCCAGTAATACAGAGACAACTATAAATAGATCTGACAATACAGTCTTTTACAGTCTTTTTTTTCTTTAGTTTTTTAGTTCAGCTGTTTTCAAATTGACACAAAAATGCATATTTGACAATATTCAACTCCAACATATCATCCCCACACACAGTTAGTCCACATGCAAGCCAAGTTGTTCAAGTGCACGATGATTGATGTGAGATCAAAGAAGGTCCCAGATGCTTTTGACACCACAACCGGGACAAAACCACCAACCACCCACATGCATGTCTGTATGTGAGAGTTAATGTTTCTGCATCACAAGCACACACAAGTACACACAGCCCCTCCAGTTGTCACAATGAGGTAAGAGCAACACAATTACAGGTATGCACAAAAAGTATACAGAGATAAAAAATACAAACAGAGAGAAAATAAAAAATAACTTGACAATTACAGTTCCTCACAAGAATGCAGAGTGTGCTGTATATTTGGGAAAAGGGTTTTAGAAAAAGGGCAAACATGATCAGACACAGCGGTAAGGTGAGTCGAGTTTATATTTCATGAAAGTAAAACATAATAAGTTTCAGTTTGCCTTGACTGGCATGTGCCCGCTTCTACAGTCAGTGTTTTGTGAGAATCTTCACATATTCCTTAATTCGTCACCAGATATAACGTAGCGAAGGGCGAAAAATGTTTTTCATCTTCCTTATTAAAGCCGATCGGTCACTGGGCTTTTTCCAAAGACTGAAGACAGCATTTCAGGTATCCCTGCAGGCTTTTTTAAAATCTAATCTCAAGTGTACAGTGCATATTTCCTTTCAGCACTACAGCTACTGGACACTGGGGAATTATTTTCCTGTGTTTCCCCAGAGAAGTGCCGTAGGGTGGCATCCATTTCTAAAGCCCAGGTAGCAGTTGGATGATGTACGTGCATACGTTCTGTCCATGCATGCACACACACACATGCACGCAGACAGATGCAACAGTCCATATTGTACTCTGAGAGATCGTGGTCATTTACTGGAAAACTGCAGAGAAAAACGAAAGGTTTGCTTAAGAACGCAGTAGATGAGGTGGTCGGTTGTGCTTTTATCTACACACACTCAGGAGGATCCTCAGCTGCATGCTTCCAGTTATCATTGTAATGACTAAATATACATATACAGTATTAGAATCACCAAACCCTTTTTTTTTTTTTACTGTTAATAATGATTTATAGAGTTAAAAGGAGCAAGATGTAACTGTGTGGGTTTGTTTTGTAGATGGTACTACAGACACAGACTGATGCGATCGGCCAGCTTGCTGTGGTGGCTGCTGTGTACTGCCCCAGCATGCATGGAAAAACCTGAAAGGCGTTTAGCTGCCACAAAACACCATCACACACACACATTTGGAGAAAAATGTGCCCGTGGGTGTGTACAGTCCAACTTATAGTATAAAAATGCTGGGTTTCAGAGCTGCAGGAGAAAAGCAGCATAATGCCACAACTTACCAGCTTTGATAGTTTTTATTGCTCTATGTGGAGTTACAAATACTGTTGGCCAAGTTTGGTACATGTTACACTATGCTCCTGCTGTGTCACTAACACTAAACAGCCATTTAAAAAAACAAACTCACAAAACGTATCAAACACTGGAGGAAGAGATAAAGTAAAGCTCTTGATCACATGACTTACACTGATATTTGGCCCAGTTTTGCTTCCTTTCATCCCAAAATTTACCCTCACCTCCAGTCTACCGCTTCTGAAGCAGCAAGTCAGTGTTTTATTTCTACAAAGAGAGAGCTTAGCTGTTCACAGTCTATTCTCAGAAATCAAAAGCTCCCCTCTGTTCTGCTAGTCATGGGGTCATTAAAAAGAAAGCGAGGGAAAAAAAAAAACCCTGTCATGTCTAAAATACAAAATCAAGCAGTGCTTTTTGTTCCTCACGTGGATCTGTGTGTAAAGGCAAGTAACACTCTTGCACACCCACTCAAACACAATTTCATACACCACAAACGAGTGTTTGTTTGCTCCAGGGCTGCAGATTTCTAGGTGTCCACCCTGAGTCCCGCTCCCTTCTCATTGATTTGAAAAATCTTACAAACTTAAGAATCCCTGTGGCGGCACGAGAAAGGAGTTTGCTGGAAAGGTTAAGTTTTCCCTTTTTCTGTACTAAAGCAGAGTTGCCAGGAGAGGGCAGGCTCTTGACATACTCCAGAGAGAAAAACTGTATTTTATGAACTTGTCTGGACACCGAGAAGTGACTGCTACATGCGAGTAGAGAGTTAGGGGCTCTGTGTGAAACTCAAAGTGCTTCTGGCATCTGAGGGAAGAGTTTTAAGAATCTTAAGACTTTTTTTAAGAGTAATATTTGCCGTTCAGATTCAGTGAACTTAAGCCGGGCAAGATTTGTCGTTAGATTGAGGTGGCGGCGGAGGAGGAGGGGTGTGGGAGAGAGAATGCGTGTGGCTGGCCGGTGGAGTGGGAGGTGTTGGGGGAACGGTGGACGTTGGGGAGCCCATTGCTGGACTGCTGCTCCCCCCGCCACCTTTGGGGAACACCACCGGCTTTGGTCTTGTGGCCGGGGGGCGCAGCTCTCTGAAGGAGGGCACGGACGAGGAGAGAGAGGTGGACAAGGAGGGGGAGGTGGCGGAGGGCAGGGGGCTGCGGGGCTGGCTGCGGGCGGGCCGGAAGGAGGACGGCACGTCGCTGGCCGACGAGGCGCTGCGCTGGAGCGGGTGGCCGTGCGAGGAGCCCCCCTCGGGGTCCCGCAGCAGGCGGGTGTGGAGCGGACTGGAGGGCTCCGACGCTCCTCCTCCTCCTCCTCCTCCTCCTCCGCCTACGCTTTTCAGCTGCTCCAGTGTGTCCAGGACCACGTCGGGGGCGTGTGTGTGTTTGGAGGCGCTCTGACGTTCCAGCTTACTGAGCTCGGTCAGGGCCGAGTCCTGAATGTCCTGCAACACAGGGGCCAAGAATGAGGTCAGCACACACACACATACACACACACACACACACACACACACACACAAAGCAGGCAGCCCTGTAGTGATGAAGCACCTGTGAGCTGTGCTCCACCTGGGCTATGAGCTCGGGGTCCAGTGGTCTGTGGTTACTGAAGCTCTTGGAGCGCCCCGCTGAGGTGGTCTTCCGTAGCTGTGGACTCTCCACCTGAATTAAACAGTGGCTTCATCAAACATCTCCCGAATGCAACGACAGGCCGTTTTTATTCGTACAAACCCAATGCAGATCAGGGTACTTGTGGTTAAGCACCTTTGTCTTGAGCGAGGAGTGGCGAGTGACCGAGTTGAGGATGCTGTGAGCGCTGACCGGCCGCTTGTCTCCCGTGTCTTTGACCAGAGCCCCTCCAACGGGGAGGGAGGCCGTCCTCACGCCTCCCGTCCCACTGCTGCTGGCTCCTGGACTTGTGCCGTCACTGTCCGAGCGGAATGTTCTCCTTATGTTCCCGGGCTCCGGCCGTCTCCTCATCCTGAGCGAGGACAAAATGTTTCGGTTCAATATTTCTATTAGCTCACGTGTCGCTGTGTCTAGAGCGCATGCCGGTGGTTTAAAGACAACACCAATCTGACTTGGAACAAGACTTTTAACTGGAACTCAGCGACATGCCGTGAGATGATATCTGCACATAGAACACACTTGTTAAGGTTGGCCAGATAGATATCCGCCACATGAGCTCCAGTGGGAGAAGCGGCACTGCCTCGAGTGGACACCCTCTCCTCCAGCAGATCCCTGCTGTCCACATCGGGCTTTGGACTTCCACGTCCCAAATCAGACCTGAAACGATCCATTAATAGTTTGCTCATGATTAATGTGTCTTTATGTTACAGCAAACAGTTGAGAGATCAACAATGAAACATTGGTCATATGTTTGACAGGAGACGCTTACTTTAGAGTCGTTTTGTTACTACTATATTAAGTTTTACCTCTGTTCTAAACAGGCATAATTGGACAGTAGTGACTGAGGGGGCTCTTCTGCTGCATTTGACTGAGTTTTTTAAAACAAATGATAGTCCTGATGGCATTTGTCACGACAATGTTCTACAAACATCAACCACAGCTAAAACATCAACTTGATTGTACGTTTAAATGCTCGGTTTTTGTCCTTTTAACGTGACATTTTTTTCAAATATCACATGATCATTCTGAAATATGTTACATAGCTTTTGTTTGATACTAATGACTAACTAACTACAAAGATGGGCATCTAAATTAAGAAACAACTTGGTCGGTATTGAACAAACTGAACAAATTCTCATGAAACAAACCACTCCAGCTGCTCAGGGTAAGTTTCGAGGGAAAGCAATTTGCTCTTTGTAGATCACAGCAGATCATCTTCCTTAACAAAGGGCGGACTTTTGGTCAACGAGCGACATCTTTCCCGCTTAGGTTTTTCATACAGCTTTGTAAAAATAAATTCATACATTTCAAATCTTCAGTTGAAAAATATAACGGCAACACTAAAGTCAAGTTTTCTTTTATCTTACATGTCCTGAACAACGATGTACTGGTGTGGCACCAGCCCATCCACTCCATTGTGGCGTCCCTCCCACCAGTCATCAGAGGCCCGCTGGTACAGGAGCAGAGAGGCGCCCTTTTTGAAAGACAGCTCTCGATTGGTTCGGCCGGTGTAGTCGAACCGAGCAATGGCTTCAATCGGTTCAGACTCTGAAACAGCCAAGGAGCCTGAGATTCAGAGATTGGCAAAACGGAGACAGGAAGTGGCAGAAGTGGGGTGCAGCATCAGATGAGGGAGAAAAGAGAGATGGAGGAGAGAGGAAGCTAATTAGAGCGTGGCAGGTTAGTGCAGTTGCATTTTGTGATTGCATGATTGTTAAAATAGCCGAGCAGCTACAAAAAAAAAAAAAAAAAAGCCTTGTAAAAAGGTTACTGGAAGCAATATGTCAGCTGTAATAAAAGGTTAATATCAGCAGTCAACAGCACAAAGCAGGATGTTATCTCATGAACTTAGCGGTAGAAGGACTCTAGTTTGACTGAATGTGTGACGCACCATCCTCGCTGTTTTGGCCCACACAGACAGTGTCGGGCGCCGGCTCTTCCACAAGGGGGGGCTCACAGTGTGGACTGTCACTGCAGTGGAAACAGGACAGAGGAGGTTTATGGGATGTGCAAGCCTCAGAATAACATCATGTGTTCATGATTCACAGCCTGAGCTCACAGGGTTCTACTAATAAGCAGGAACGCTTACAGCCAGCACATCATAACTAGTTTCAGACTAAATGTGCCCTTTTTGTCCAAAAGGCATTTCTCAGACAGCACTGTTGTTGTCTCTGGACAGAATAAACAAAACTTATTTTGGTGCCTTTTTACGTCCAGTCTCTACAAATTATTTCCCCAAATGATGACAATATCCAAATTAGAAAAAAAAAAATAATCCTAGCTCCAACAATGCCCAGACTTTGCCCGTTGATAAATACTTTGTGTCTAGACTTTCCTGAGTGCAAAATTAAAGCTGCTGCTTCAGTCTGTACAACTTCACAGAGTGACAGTAATCATAATGACTTTTTCTGAGGCTGGACATTATAATAAAACTGGCAGGTAGCCATTGTGTGCTCCTGGTCTGTACAGGCTGTGCTCTGGTGGGCTGATGTGGTCAGGCGGTGCTTTAATCTCCTCTGTGATGGAGAGTAAGCTGATCCTCGTGGCTCAGTGGCCTCAGGAGGAACAGACGAGCAGAGCCACCAATCACTGCACGGGCAGCATCTAAATCAACCACTCAGCCTTTTCTATGGTGAGAAACGACTAGGGCAGAACTTTATTTTTCTTTCTACTTGACTTAACAATTTATGCTCTTTTTGTCTAAATGCTTTGTCACCCTCAAATTCCCCTTTCATTCCCCTGCCCTCACCAGAAGTCATCCCCTGCTCCGGGGACGGTGTAAATTGGACCCTGAAGGTCCTGCCGCCCCGGAAAGATAGTGTCATGATGGATGATGATAGTTTTGATGAGTTCGTTGACGTGGGCCTGGCAAGAGACTTGATCATGGCCCTCGGGGACAGACATCAGGGTGGGGCCGAAACAGATGGCCAGGTTGTAGGGGTCCATCATGTTTTCCTCGCTGTACTGAGACAGGCTGGGTGGGAGGCAAAAGAGAGTCGATTAAGGACATGATCTCATCCCTGGGTCTCAAACATTAAAAATACACAAAGCTGACCGTATGCAAAAACAATCATGACGTGAATTTATAGCCTGAATCATCTTGCTAATTGTGAATGAGATGTGAATGTATCCAGCATCTTGACAAGTAGTTGGAAGAGCTATAACACCGAACACCACCTGGCCTGTTGAGGTGATGACGATGATGTGTGTGCGAGCGGGTGTTTGTGTGCATTGCAGGGAGTGAAAAGTAGCAGCAGTGCTGGGCTGTCTGTAAATCCCTCAAGTAAATGAGTGGGCTCCACATGAGCTGTCTGGGACCACTTGGTTTACCCAGGAGTCTCAAATGTCAGCTCTCCCCGTAACTCCTTTTAATGAAAGAGAGAATCCCCTTTTTTAAGGAGGGACAGTCATGATTTCATAGACTGGTCTGAATGTCTCTGAACATATGTATATAGTTGTGTTTGCATACACACTGTATGTGTCCAAACGTCACCCTGTGCCCCTTTTTCCAGGAAATTCATTTCCATACAACATAACTTTAATAATTCCATTCCTATAAGAAAGCCATGACTTTACAGGCATTCAATTTACGGTTAAGGTGATTTGGAGCTTCAGAGCCCACATAGACTAGGGGCAATACAGGTCTATAAAAACAAATCTGATCTGGAGGGGAAATTAAATAATTTCTCAGACAAGCTTCCTGTTCCTCAAGTAATTTAATTATTCGTAATTTCAATTGTCACTTTAGACCACACTCGATTTCTCAGAGGTTAAAGGATGTTTAGAAATGATTGGTGACTGCCAAATCTGGGGTTTGTGAAAGCAAACAGTTTGTGAGTAAAGTGAGCTGAAACATTAAGGCCTGCCCTTCAGATTTTATACTACAATCAGCTACAACTTTGAAACTGATATCAGCTGCATTTCAATGCATTGAATCTCAAAAACCCATTCTGACAAAGAACCCAAAATGTCTGCCGTCACTATCAAAGTCTTGATATTGATGCAGCTGCAAACCAACAATCCACCCTCTAAAAGTCCTGCTACTCACTGGTGGAGGAAGGCAAACAGGTATCTCATGATGATTAAAGTTTTACTTGGCAGGGACTGCAGAACTTTCTTAATGTGGACTGCCCGTTCCTGGAGGCTCTCCATGGCTGGAAACAACACGGACACGCATGAGATTACTTAGACAATCAAGCTGGAAAGACACAGGCGGAGAGGAGGAAAAAGCACTCACAGACACAGGATATGAGATCATGGAAGACTTCTTTAGGGAAGAGTGCATGGTCAAGTCCCCTAAAGTAGAGCTTCAGGACACCAGCAATGGAATCCATGTCGTGGTCATTCTGGTCTCCGGCCAGCGGGTCTTCTCCTGTGTGCAGATAAAAGGGGAGCGGAGCATGGTGAGAAGACATATCAAAACACTCGATGCATGTATTATGATTGGAATAATGTGGATTATTTATATTTTACCTCTTTCAAATGCATTTTTGATGTCATTGACCTCCACCTGAGAGCCTGACACTCGGAAGATTCCCTCATGCTGAAGACCTGTGTGAAGACCAAGCGCGTGTTAAATTCAGGGCTCTTTGTCATTCTGGATGTTTCAGTTTAAAGTCAAAATGTCTTCAAGAAATTTCCAGTTCAAAATGACGCACAGCCAATCAGATCGAATAAAAACGTGACCAATCGGCCCCTCTGTAAAGAGACAATGAACTTTTGACTTCACAGGAGAACTTCCTCACCATGGCGACTGATGAAGCGGATGCAGCTCTCAACCATCAAAGGAATGGCTTCACCCGAGTCCTAGATTTGTGGAGAGACATTTTTCCTGTTTAGTGTTGACATGATATGAAACTGATGGAGGAAAAAAAAACACAAGCGGATCCTTTTCCTCACTCGTCGGCAATTGCATCAGCTCAGACGTTTAAGAGGGATTATTTCAGACAGTGGGCGCTGTACCCAGCTGTTGCTAGGAGACGACACCTTTTCCTTTTCCCTTTGTTTGTTTGAGGTTTTCAGAAATCTCTCGGAAGTAAGTCAATGAAATATATGTCGGACAGTACATATATCCACTGTTTGTTTAACGCAGAAAATTTAATGTGAAAATGCTAAATTCTGTAGAATGAGAGCCTATGATAAAAAAGATTAATACATGGAAAGTCATTCCACAAGGGGGAGCTACAAACATTAGATTTCTAAATCAAGGTTGCCGTTTGATCTTCAATTGATCCAATTGCAGATACAAAACATGTATCTGAATGTACACTATACTTAAGTCTACGTTTATTTGAGTCATGGTATGGCAAACGTGCTTTCAGCATTTCCATACAAATGCCATCTGAGGATTTGATGAGAAAACTTAAGCACAAGTTAAAAATGGATTTGCAGTGGCTTTGACCAAAGCTAGCAGCCATTTACAAACAAACTAACAGTAACACACACGCTTGGCGCATACACAAACACACACACCCACACACACACACACACACACAGAGCTAATTACCTGCTTCCGTACTGTTGAGTTTCTCCTTCCACTACACAGAGAAAAGGGGGAAAGAAAGTACGGTAGTCTGTCATTACGTTTCCAGAGAAAGTCTATTTATACTCAAAACCCTGGTAATGTTCTATTTGTCCACACATGCACACGTGTTGAGAACAACTATAAAGAGTGACAGGAAAATGATAGCCCTGACTGCCAAGAAATCAGATTTTAACACTGATGGTTTATGAAGCGTATGAGCATGTGTGAGTGCATTTCTTTCTTCACCACACCTACCTGGCAAGGCAACAGTCAGTTTTCTGACCTAAAGGAAGGAGAGACAGGAAGAAGAGGAGGGGTTATAGGGGAGAGATTTATTACAGAAGAGAGACACAAAAAATGGCATTTGATGATACAGGAAAGCAAACCTCCCACTTGAGCTGCACACAAACAATACAGATGAGGTTTTCCAGCAAGGTTGTGGAAACACTGACCCATCTGACCAAGCAGAACACACCCATACACACATACTTAAGAACACAGCTGCATCCACATATGGTCAGAGTCCCTTCGACCTGCCCCTTGACTTACGCACAGCTTGTGATCATTAGATACGTTAAACTAATTCTGCTTCACTGAGCGGACTGATGTGTACTGCTACACCAATCATATCTCTGATTTGCTCAATGTTTTTGCTCCAGGCACCAGACCTTTTCCCAAATCCGCCCAACTGGGTCTGGTGGGAATACTACCGCACTCACACAGATGAAAGAAAAGGACAATGTGGATGGAGGACACTCACTCTCTCCCAGGGTCTTCTCGATGAGGTCATGCTCGGCTTCCAGCTTGGTGATCAGGCTCCTGCCTTCCAGAAACTCCTTCAGTTTCTGCAGAACATACAAACGAATGACCTGCTGTCACATCACTGGTTTAATATGTTGCTTTGTACAAGAGAGGCTTACAATAATAATGATAATAATAATAATATTGAGAGATCATAGCTGTTCCGACCGTGAAGTAAAACTGCTCTGTCTCCTGCTGATTGGCCCGTCGCTTGGCCAGACTGGGTTTGCTCAGGTATGACTCGCTGAAAGTAGACTTGACTGACTCCATGCTATTGCTGTGGTGGAAGCACTCGGATACGTCATAATCCTCCACGGTCACCATGTCTTGAATGGTAGACAGAGTGGCCTCCATGGTTTTCTTCACCTGACGAGCAGTGAGGGGGACGGAATAAAACATTTGATCTTTCGCACCCTAAACTACTAAAAGTGGTTTAAAATTGAATCCGTGTGTGAGGAATTCAGGAAAATGCCTCACCTCGTCATTCTCAATCTTCAGAGTGGAGAGACGGGACTGCAGCAACTGGCACCTCTGGTGTAGCTCAACTTCCAGTGGCTGCTGTGCACACATCACTCCCATCTACAAGAACAAACAGACAGACAAATAAATACAACATACACATGTACACTGGCCATAAAGAACTAGAACTAGAACTATACCATGTCGCCCATGTGGGACTGGAAGTCAAAGCGAGCTGGTGGGCAGAAGACGTTGTTGTAGGTCTCCATCAGTTTCTGTTTGTCCCCGTTGGGCTCCAGACTCTCTGATGCTCCCTCCAGTGTCTCCAAGCCTGTGTGTTTGGACGTCTCTACATTCTGTTCGGCTGATAAGTAGGTCCTCAGGGCACGGTGCAGGCTGGCATGGTAGCCCAGGTCACAGCACTGTTAGTGCACAAATCACATTTGTAAGTACATATCTGTAGCATGAAATGTGGCTATTACAGGTAATGAAACAAAACAAAAAGAAAGACCCCTTGTGCTTCCACACGAAGAGGCAAAAGTCATGCCGAAAAGCACTGGGGTAGAAATAAATAAATATCAGCTAACAACTCAAACACACTGTTGACTGGTCCATACACACTCACCGTCCAGTTTTGGGTTTAAACCCAATTTCCCCCATGAAGTAGCTAAATAGTTCATGGTATTAATAAAACAGGGTCAAATTAACATTCTCTAAAGATCCAAAGGCCACACAAACAAGCACGTATCACAGTGACACACATTTTATACTCACATCAATGATGTCGGAGAGGTCATGGATGTAATATTTGAAGACGCAGCTGTTGGTCGCCTCCAGTGCCAGCAGGTACTCGTTCCGGGCCTTGATGGCCTTCAGCCTGTTCTCTGTGTACTTGGCTTGTCTCTGACAGGAGGAAGGGGAAAAAACAGCGAAAGACAAGAATACAGATTAAAAAAAGGGAGAAATAAAGAAACCTGGCGACGAGGAAAGGAGAAAGAGGGGAGACGAGGACACAGATAATCGCCGCTAAAGTGAACACCTCGCTATTGATTCGGGGTGACAAGAGGTGGGGAACTGTGTTGCTGTGACGGGCTCCAGCTGTAGCAGACAAGGTTAGCAATAAGCCGGTCATAAATCATTCATAAGACAAACACTCAAGTCTGTGAGACAACAGGTGGAGCACTCAGATGCAGCCGGCTCTTCTGTGCCAGATGCCAACCAGCTTCCCCTCCCCCGATCCCACTCACCTTCTCCTTCATCTTCTCGATTTTTTTGACGCTGGAGCGCCGCGCCGGCTTCTCGTCGGTCTTGATGCTGGCCAGGGTGTCGGGGGAGCGCGGCGTCTGGCGGTCCTCCTGACGGCTGGAGCGCCCCATCTGCTTCTCCTCCTGCTTCTCCGCATCCTTCAGTTTGGACTCGGCATTGATGCTGTCAGTGTTGTATATGTGGTAGGTCTTCATCACCTAAGGGCAGGGGGTGAAATGTTGTCGATGAACTTCCAATGTGCGCCTCCTTTCACACACATTAAAAGAGTCATCCAGCCAGCAGGGCAGTGCATTGGGAGAGTGGTAGGGGTTTACAAGAAAGAGTTAAACGCATGAAATGAGCATGTGCGCCGTGTCAGTTTGATTCCAGTAACCACCACTAAAGCTGTCATTATACTGTTTCTCCAACACCAGGGCAGAAAGGCGCTGCTCAGGCTGTGAGTATTCATGTGAGCCTCATTCACGGCAGTTCTATTTCTATCTTTTACAATAGACTATAATTACACATAAGACTCACTTTTATAAGTCTGGCTGACCTGGAACTATTATGCTGGCTGACTTTACTGAAAATCCCCACACATGCAAACAGTGCTACACAGTCTGTTTGCCTCCCTCCTTTGGGCAGCATCAGGAACATGTGGAACCCGATGCGCATGACAGTGTGAAAGGGCCAAAACACGAAGGAGGGTTAGTGGGCATCATGCGTTACATCATCTCCATTTATCTCTATGGCGCAGTATCCTTTTCTAATTAGCTCTGTACAACTTGGGCTGATGTCATTAGTTCTGCAGGCATTTGGTCTTGAACCAAAGTTTAGGAATCTTTTTAATTCTTAACTGATGGCGGCCTCGCTGAAAATTTTAAAGGTCCCCAAAGGACTCAAAAAGTTGAGAACCACATTTAATTTCATCATCAAAACATTGATGAACAAACAGTGCAAAACACTACCTTTAACGATCAAAATTTTCTGCTGGTGGTATCCACAATGTCTCTTTGTCATCTTTAATGTTGGCTATAAACTTTGTTTTGAATGCTCAAAAATTTCAAAATTGTTTTAACTAGCACCCTTATGTTTTTGTATCTAAAACTTTCTTATTAAGTTTATATAGACTAACATCCCAAAACCAGTGATGACAAGTGATTATTAACTCCAGCGCTAGAACAAAGTTTTCTCCAAAATGCAATGCATAATTATGGGTTCACATGTAGTGGGTGTAATGGCAGGGGTTTGCTTACCGAATAAAGCTCATTAAGAACTTTCATCAGATCTTCCTGCAGCTGCACGCCGACCTCTTTGCTCTAAGAAGGATGGAAGAAAGAAAAAGGACAAGCTGATGTAAATATACAACTTTAACCATCAGGTTAACAGCAGTTCCGGTGTCCACCTACCTGGTTATCTCGCTGCCTGCAAATCAAATCTAGACCCACTCAGACATGTGATCAACAAATTCCCCCATCATAAATCTAGGCCAGATAATCTCCTCTTGCTGGAGTGCAGAAGTCTCCAGGCCAGATAAATGAGCTATGCAGTAATGGAGTTGATGGATGTGTGGGGAGGCTACAGATACTAATCGCTACATGATAGCAGAGAGGGCAACGGCACAAAGGAACCACAGATAAAAAGGCACGATACCATAGCCGATTTAAAAAAAAGAAGATGGAGCAATACAGGCACTAACATTCTCCAGACAAATCTGCCAGAAGCAACTAGTGACTGATGATAGAAAGCCACTGATCAGTGGACTCCACACACAGAAATGTTCACTTACAAACAAACACATGCATTCATAGCTCCTCTCGTACTTCTGCATAAATATGGGAGAAATCTCCTAAGGAAGTAAAAAGACACCACTGACAGTTCGTTCTACTACTTATGCAAAGAGAAGCAAAAATGTCATGTCAGGGCATTTTTGTTTATGTGGTCACCATCACAGAGTTTCTACAGTTGCCCCTTAAACAGTGGACACCAAATGGCCCAAAAACATCCCCCTGAAAAGGAAATGCCCTTCCAACCTCTGAGGTTTGAGGGGATGAGTTATTGGTTCTAGTACATACGTTTCTTTAGTCAGTTTGAATCCAAGCTAGGGCCTTTTTGTGTGGAGTTTGTATGTTCTCCCATATATTCATGGACTATCTCAAACAAAGTCATTCTGTACTCCCTCTCGGTTTCTGTATCCTAATGTCAACAAAGATAGTGACTAAAATATGGATAAGGAATTAATTCAATAGTAAACAAAAGCAGTTTCATTCTGGTGGAGGGTATAGTAGAACCTAGGGGATATTCGAGGTTTATAGGTAAAGCAGTAACAAAAAAAGAAGAAAACTATGACAAACTAAAACTGTGGCAGCATGAACATATCTTGTGAAAACAATTATGAAAAGGGTGGGCAGAGGGCAGCATGACAGCTGTGGGGGTTGGCGATCAGAAAGGTCTAGAAAAAAGAGAGGGTTGCAGTAGAGTAATAAAATGACATGAGAGGCATCAGGATCTCTGAGGGTGCCCTGCACGCACTCTCTAAAGCGGTGACAAGACCACAACCAATCAAAAAGCAATCAGGTCTGACTGACACCTTGTATTTATCAAAAGTGGATGTTGACCTTTGAACTTCTTTTAGCTTGCGGTTTATTAGCTAAAAAAAAGAAAGAAAAAGAAACACGCACAACAGAAACTAGCGACTGGCGTCCATCAGCCCTGATGTCTGAGGTTCAGCTTGAAACATTGTGTTCTTTAGCTCAGTGCAGAAAAAACGCTGTGCTGACATCTGCAATCTGGACTGTGGCGTCAGTAGTAGTGAAGCAAACCAACTATACACTCGATAGGCCAGAACAAGACATCTCTGATTGGACGTGCGCTACCCGTTTGGGAAAGATAAACACAACAACAACCAGTTTCACCGTCTGTAACTCAACCGAGAGATGCAGGTACGGAACAGGAGAGAAAGTGCAGCTTTTGCTTCGGCGTATCAGACAGACGGCGAGATGGGGGCTGAGATTTGTGTGCGTTCTCGTCGCCTGTGATCAGTCTGGAAATGCGGTTCAAAGACAATCTATCAGGTTGGAAATCAGCAACCTCTGCCATGACATTCCTTTCACACACGGCTTCACTTCTGCCGTCTACGCACGTATACAATTATCTTTCTATACCTGTGAGGGTGCTGGCAACATTCTTTTACTGACAGACACAAAATCCAGCCCCTTTGCACTCTGATTTTAAAGTTGATCTTAAGCTGTAATATTCTAAGTTGTGTTTTTTATGATGATCAACAAAAATGACTTCATCCTGCAGCAATGCTCACACTGTCAGACTCGCACGGAATAAACAGACTAATATGTTCATCCTGGAAATGAATAACTGTCTCCGAGGGGAGAAATGTGCCTTGGCTTCAGTTCCATCACATCTAGCCCCCTCTCAAGCCCTATTCCAATCTTTTTCTGTCCTCCTTCTGATCCCTTTTATGCCTCAGACAAGGATGGCAAAGATCAGTTCAGACAATAAGAATTCCTGTATGAAACATAAACAATATGAACTGATCAGGATAAGGGCACAGCTGACCTGCCATCTGTTAATAAATCAGCCAAGATAAAAAAAACAACAGATGCTGGGGAGAAGGATGGACATGGGGCAGATATGACAGATTTAGTGTGTCTGGCTCCATCAGTGTCCCTCAGTGACCCTCTGGGTACACCACTTCACACATTATACAAAGTATAAGTTCTGGAAGGAAAAATAATTATGATAACGGCCTCCATTAGTTAAAGGTATCCAACGTGAAGCTTGGGTGAGACTTGTGTGTGAGCACATTACCTTCTTGAAGAGGCGCCCGGAGTCCTCGCTGATCTGTGCAAACCGAGGGATGATATTGTTGAGGTAGAGGTCGGACAGAGTGGCGCGATCACGGCTCTCCCTCTTCACCTGAAGCAGTAACAAGTTCCAGCAGTTCACCGGAGATAGAATGCTCTGCTCCTTCCTGGACACACATAAACAGATAGTGTTATGGTGGGTTTGTTTCAAATGATTGTTTACTTTTGGGTGACATATTCACTTTTCCTTCATGCTGATTTTCACACATGTGCAGTGTCCCTCTAGCAGACACCAAACACATTTTGTACAAAAACGAGAAGAACAGAGGACTCCCAGACAGATTTGAGCACAAACCAGCCAGCCACACACACACAAACACACACACACACACACGCACACACACTGAGAGACTGTAAGCCAGCCCAAACAAGGGATTCAGCCAGGGTACAAAACCCAGCAGGAAGAGGTAAGACTCCCCAGAAAGCACAGCTGTTGTTGAAAGAAATAAGAGAGAAATAAAGATAGGAAAAGGGAGACCTCTGAAATCTGCCGCCATTTCTTTGACAGTGTAAAAGTCCAATTCTGTTTACACTGCCTTTGTTTCAAGTGGACATAAATCCGTAATTAAAATACTCATTAAATGCCAAGCAGACACAACACAACTGCTTTCACAGGGGGTGTAAACACAGTACGTTTGACTGTGTGTGTGTGTGTGTGTGTGTGTGTGTGTGTGTGTGTGCGCGAGTACAGTATGAGTTATGGATGATCTAGTGGGTAAAATGGATTATGAGTGAGTGTAAGTGGATAAAGGAAGGCCTTTGTGTCATTAAGAGCAGCTTTAGCTGGATAGAGAGAGCAAAGAGCTGCAAGGCATTTACATCACACTCACACACACACAAACACACGCACACACACACACACACACGCACACATATAGATGGGGTCGGGGAAAGTGGAGCAGTGACCCAAGCATACACAATGTCAGACAGACAGAGAAAGTCTTTGATTTGACTGAGGGGTGGGGGGCGGTGTCCACAGGGAGGGGGGGTACATGTGTGTGTTTGGCAGAGTTAGAGAAAGTGTCCTGGTAGGCTGGTACTGGCTGTTTGAGATCAAATAGAACAAAAAGATTCATCAACGACAAAAGCCCATAACTAGATCAGTTACACTTAAAGCATAGGTCATGCAGACACAAGTGTGTGTCACAACTGCTTTTCCAACTTCCCTCGGCTGACCGTTTCTTTTCCGGCGCGTCTGTCTTCACCAGTTGCACAACACAAACACAAGGCTGCACTTCCTCTGCTATTTGAAATGGTTAGCCGCCACCTTCACGGCACGCTCAGCCCACCCGATGATGTCACTGGGTGAAATATCACCTAAAACTGTCTCTGACCCACAGTCATCATACGGTAAACACCGAAATAATCACTCAGTGTCCAAAGGTCACATGGTACAGATGTCTCTCCGTATAACTGCACAAACCGCCTCCAAGGGCAGGAGCCCTTTTAGGAGCCAATTACTACTTCAGTCAGCTGGAAAGCTTTATCAGCGAAAAGACTATACCACCACCCCTGGCTTTCATTATCTCTTCCCCTGCACAGATTGTGATTTGTTGTAATACCAAAGCTAAATGTGCCGTGTTGTGTGTGCTGCTGATCCTCAAAGAAGGCCAGTGGAAAAGAGAGTAAGTCAGAGTAATATCAATAACCACAAATGTTTTCGGCCACCTTTTTTTTTTTAGCAAAAAATCAATCTAATTTGAGATATTTGCAGAAACATTGACGGTTCAACAATTATGTGATCAGGTCTCTAAAACCACAACAGAGTCATACGACAATTGTGTGAAACTGGCCCTGCATTTAGAATAAGGTGGACTCTGAATCAGTATCCAACTTGTGAGAGCTTTGCTAAACCTCTCAGGCACAAGGCACACACAGTGTGATTTAACCATGGAACCCTCCAACCACTGCTGCAAATAGTCTGCCAAATAGCACACATACCAGGGGTCTCCAAGGGATCAACATGCTCACAACCCTCACACCCCACATTGCTGGGAGCACCATTGACGCCTGGCTGTGCAGAGAAAACGGCAACAGACACCCCCCTCATACACACCTACATTTGAATACACACCAAAATACACAGGCATAACCGGAAAATAGCTGAGATTCCAGCGCGGAAACCGGACTGAGCAGCAGCAGATGCAAAAAGAGCTGCGAACACACAGATGTTGCTGGAAGGACTGCGGTACAAAGAGGTAGACGAGAGGAGCGGCAAAGCAGATGAGGAATAGATGCGAAAAACTTCTCATTGAATCCTAATTTTCTAAACGGTCTCTTCATAGATCGTGTTTTGTGAAGGCGACAGCTGCGGCAGCAAAAGTAGCTGCACGCGTTTATTCTGCGTGCACTGCCCTTCCCTTCTCTGCAACTTTTCCCCCTCCCACAGTATGCAACAGAAACACTTGCTTTGCAACTGTCTCAATATTGATTTGGGTGGGGGGGGGGGGGGGGGGGGGGGGGGGGGGGTGGGGGGCTGCATGTGGGTGTGTGTTGAGGGTACGTCCTCGCGGTCGGAATTGGGTTTCGTTTAGAGGACGTATCGATCCCCTTTAGTCTGTGTGTGGGTGTTTGAGTTCATTTCATGAAAGTGGGTTTGGCCCCAAGCAGAGCAAAGTTTGGGTAGAAGGCTGCGTGATACGTAAGAAAAGAGAAGAACTGGGCTATGAAAAAAGAGGAAGTTGGCTTTCGAGACGGTCATGGTTAACAGGAACTAAAAGGAACAAAGAAGGAAAATAGAACAGGAAAAATCCCCATTTCAAGATTTGGTCAAATTCAGAAGATCCAGTTTAACAAAAGTCAGTTAATAGTTTCTCTAAGGACCAAGATTAAAGCTAAACTAAACTGTACCAACCATAGCTGCACCAAAAAACAAAAAACATACATTTAATTTAATTCACCTTAACTACACTTGCATATCCGTGTTTTTGTCTACATGATCTTTAAATATCCTCCATGTAGTGCAAATGAAATGACCTGTTTATTTTGGATAGAAAGAGCACAGGGTGTGCCAGTTCAGCTCACTTGCTTCGATTATTTCAGTGGTTTTACAATCTTCACTGGATATGCAAGAAATGAATGCATAAATGAACACTAGGCTGTTTTTGTTCACACCAACATCATAATTCTGATGACTAAGCACTCATTGATGACTCACAGCTGCCCAAAAATCGCGACGGGATGGTTTCGTGACAGATCAATGAGGCTGTGGTAATGATTACGGAGACATAGATCCCTTCTAAATTAGCAAAAGAGAATAATCACTACATTTCATATCAAAAGGTTCATAGCAACTGCTCAAACAAGCAGCCACTCTAGGTAACTCAGTCCATATACTAAAAACAGTGGTGCAAGTCAGCTGTAATTCAGTATATCTGCTTATTTTGCAACATTTTGTTTACATTTCTGTGTGCCAAGCCTTTTTTCTTGGACTGTGTTACCATCTAAACGTTATAACGTATACTCATTAATTCAGGTAAACAGTCATTGCATGTCAAGGCAAGTTGGGTACTTTAGTGTTCCTAATGGCATCCCTTTCAGAAAAACAACATTACCATGTTTTGCTCTTGGTAAAAAAGAAAGAAAAAAAAATAGAAACGTGATAATCAAAGAGGCATAATAATTCTACTTCAGCTGGACCTTAGGCTCAACTTATCTGCAGGCTCTGTCAGAATATATGTGTGCTGTGTTTACAATGGCTGTAAACACAGCACACAAATCAGACTGCTCTAATCCCAGAATCCCAAAATAAAACAAACTTCTGGATGCTTTGGTTTGTAACCTTGATACTTTGTATTTATATTACTTGTTCATTTCCTCACTGATGACACACAAGGTAGAGCAAGAGAAAGTCCATTTTTGGTGAAAGAAAATCCCCATTTGGGCAAAGCTCAATTCATGTTAAGACCAGACAAAGTAGACAGAGCACAAAATTGCCACCTGGCCATTTTTGGCAGAACCTACAGATTCCCTGAGCCTCCCCCTCTCTCTCAGACACACACGGAGAGCCTTTTTGGGACCTAACAAAAACATGCTGGTAATGAAATGTAGTCTATAAGTCACATGGTGTTCTCGTGGATCAAGCTAGAAAGCAGCTAGTGATTTAAGTCGGTATTCTACTGACTAATTATGACATCCGTCATCCTGTTTCATTTCCTTGCATCCTGCCACTACTTCCTTTTTTTTTCCACGGGAAGGAACTCACCAGTCTCTGAAGCACCATGCTAAATACGGAAACTGTCTCATTTTCAACTTTGCGAGTTTAAAAAGAAATGCTATAAGCTATTTTTGACAGTGAAAAACTCCATGTACATATCGTTCTGAGTTGTAACTTGCTGCTTTGTGTCATCGTGCAGAATCTGTGTGACTGTAACTTACTTGAGGAGGTGGTCCTTGGTGCTGCGCGTCTTTGTGAGGAACCGCTCGGCTAACTTCTCCAAGTTACGGCTGTAGTCCATCTCAATTTCGGCCTTCTTCCTGAAGAAGTCCTGCAGGTCTTGAAGCAGCTGCACCCTCAGCTCACACTGCTGGTCCAGACACTTGAGCTGCTCCACCAGCTGGGCACGGACCTCTGTCAGGATGCAAGCCAGAGAGAAACACATTTTAAATGCTGTTAACCATCATCCAGGTGGAATTATTTCCAAAACAATAACTGTTAGCAAACCCATAATGTCTTATTGCCCCGAATTAACTACGTTTTGCCTACAAAGAGCAATTATGTATGACCAAAAAAGAAAAAAAACACACCTGGAAATCCCCCTCCCCAAAGTTTGAGAACCTAAGCATGTGTGTACGTTATCACATTCGCAGGCAAGTGTACACGTATGTGTGTGTGAGATCAGATATCATCGTTCACACAGACATCCCCAGAGGCAGCCATTTATCCTGCCTTATCACTTTTCATTTTCCTGCAGCCTCCTTTCTCCTCTCCCTCCTCCATGCCGCTCTCCAGCCTGGCCTCAAATTAATAGAGTGCACTCAGCACAGACACACTTGGTAACCACATTCAATCACTGACTACAAAAACATCCTCTGGAGAGTGCTGCCCGCTGCAGCTATGGACTGGGCAGACCAAAAATACGGCAACATGTGCATATATACGCACAGACACAAAGGTGATGAGCTGAATCAGTGCTGACAGCTGACAGATTAATGCTATGCTCTCATAGCTGCCTGCCAATGCTGAGTAGCAGGCGTTCTTTGGAGAGGAAGACAACAACACACGCGCAGACATAGAGCCGTCAGCCGATCTTGACTCGTATCCTACAGCTCCCCTACCTTTACAACGCTGGCTGTACAGAAATCGGAGGGTTTTGGCCTCCATCCTGGCTTCAGAACAGAGCGGCTTCCCTTCACTCACACTCCCATCCAGGCACACAAATGCTTGGAGGCAGGCGCAGAGTAAGCCGTGCGTCAGGCCGGCGGTGATGCTGCCTTTGTGTTTAACAGCTGAGAGTGCAGTTTCTCATTACCACAAAAGAGAAGTGGGATGTCTAAATGTGTCTGTGGCCACCCCCCTCCTCCTACTTCTTTCGCCCTCCCTCATAGACACAAACCCTAAACTTCGTGCCACTTGCCAGCGGCTGTTCGGCCACTCTTTGCTGATTAAAAGGCCAGGGCGGCAGCGTTTTGTGGTTCTGTGGCACCATCGCGCAAACAAAACACGTGCACGCAGTCTGTGTCTTTGCTAATGACCTGTTGTGAATATTTGCTTTGACAACATGTGTTATTTTCTCGTAGTCTGTGTGCAATGTTTATGTATAATTTGCTCGCTGCGCTGTGTTGTCAGTGATGGAGAGTGAGTCAGAGTCCTGCCTCCTCATTCTGTGACACAAAACCAGGACGGTGGCCTTGTAATTAGCCCATCCAAGACAACAACACGCACAGCCGCTTGAATGAAAACAAGCTTTGACATCCATGAGGAGGAGGCGAGCGGGGGGGGGGGGGGGGGGGGGGGGGGGGGGGGGTGGCAGAGAGCATACGACAGTCGTGGGGCAGACAGACGTTAAAGGTGGAGGATGTGTTGAGAAACAACACAGCAAAGCAGTAGTCAAAGCAACAGTAGTCACACGTGGACGTAATGTTTAGAGAGCAGGCTTAATGGTGGGAACATTAATTTAATAGGGAGGGCATGCCCTTACATCCACAACCTCCCTGGAGACCCTCACATTCACATCAAAATGAGGAGTGGCTTTGACAACACACCCCATTTACAGAATATATGGCTGACTGTGATCTCTCCACAATTTACCTCATTATTGGCTGTTAAACAGAAAGGTCTTTCAAAAAAAGTTGTTTCACCATTGACACAGATTCTTGTATGCTCACGAGAGGAAAGTATATCAAAAATTAGCAGAGGCCTTCACTTCCATTTTGTCCTGCTGTAATGTTAATCATCTTAATCAGGCCCACACTGGGATGTAAAGTGGGAGGTGAACTGGAATGTGATGCCTCCACCTCCTCCAGACAGCCCAGTCACATTTTCCAGGCAGATGAGAGCAGGTCTTGTAATCAGGCTCTGGGATTCTACTTTACCGATGCTCTGCTTTCTTCTTCCTCTTCCCCCCCCCCAATCCCTTGACTCTTCTGTCAGTTGTGCTAAATGCTGTGAGGCTCCGTCTGCAGGAGCCATTGTCCTCACACTTTTCACTCTTCTCACAAACCTCAACACAACATTAGTCATAAAGCAAAATAAGATGGTATCTATATTCGAATGCAGTATTTTGAATGTCCTATACGCAGTGTCTTCTTGTTTCTTCCCTTAAAGAATTTTTCTCAATTTTTTTTTAAGCTGTTAAGTACAGCATTAAGCTGCTGCTTCAAATAATTGTTTTTTATTTGTTTTATTACTCTGATCCTTAAACAGAAAGAGAGACATGGTGGATGTGGATAGCATAATCACAATAGAATGGGAACCATGGCTGATGCCTGCTGTCAGTTTTGGAGTCGAGTCAGGCTGGAGGCAGTTGGTCTGGATAGCCTCAAACCAGATTCAGCCATGTTGCAGCAACAAATAAGCACATGGATACTCGAGGAGAAAAAAAATATATGCTGGAACATGACAAACCTCTAGAAAGTGCAACAGCAATACGTAAAATAGGCCTTTTTGAAGCTCGAGTTAGAATTTAGTAAAATTCCCGCCATTGCCGACACAAGTGAATGATACCTGGTATACAGGAGTAACAGACACTGCTCCAAGGACCAGTCATACAAAAAAACATTGCAAGTTCAAACTTCCCTCTGAACAGTTGTGACGGCAGCTATCCAGTCAGCTTCTGTGGGCGCATCTCCAGTCGTGCCCTCCTTAATTACAATATCATCACCGCAGACACATGCGAACACACAAACACCGACGTATGAGGCAAGCGTTTGCAAGTAGATGTGATGTGTGTTTGAGACGAGGCTTGAAGTGTCTAGAGAGGGAGTGTGAAGGTGCAAACAGGAGAGGACAACCAATCTCGCACTGTCCAAACAGTTCAGTTGATTTAAAGGACAGTTCTGGTGTACATTACAGCCACGTCTGGGTTAAAGAGGTCTCCCTTCCCCCCCAGCGTGCGGTCCAAGTTAACCGAGGTAGGAAAAAAAAAAAGGGTCTAACCAGTGTGTTGTCCCTCAGCTGATGCTACCACACTGGCTTAATGTGGGTAAGGAGGACACATTGGAGCTGCCGGAAATGTCTAAATTACCAAAGAACCGTGTTGGGTTCATGAGAGTGTTATTTTGCCGCAGATAAAGCATGGCTGACGTGTGAAAATGCTTTTAGATTCAGAGTAAACCACTTGACAACCTAGTAGTTAAGGTTCTGTGACCTCAAAGTGCTTTTTAATGCATTCTTAATTACTCACAACTCCAGAATTAATTCCTCCATAAAAAATGTACCATTTTAGATAGTTTGATGAAGCAGCTATCTTATTTAAGAGGTTCTTTTTCATCCTGTGCTCGCACACAAGAAATCTTACAGGTACAAGGATCTGAACACATTATCACACCGAGTCGAGACCCATTTGTAGTACACGGGGATTTTCTTTTTTCCACACATACTTCTCTGACAACACTTGTGCTCACAAATTGTGTCAAGATCATAAGAACACACGGGAAGAACAAATCAAAGACAACCAACCAGGAGATGTAGCTACAAGTGAGGTACAATATCACCCATTCATCTCGCTCTTCTTTGTGGTTTTGTGTGTGAGTACACGCACGCGCCGTGTTTATGCAGTAAGGCCTGGTCTTTGTTGCTCCAGGGGCTGATACTGCAGTACAGACTACAGAGCGGTGGGGAACAGAAGGGGGGTGGGAATGGTTTTGAGTTGTACCACTGTGAGCTCATACTATTGTCCTCAGAAGAATGAAAGAAGCAGAAAGAAAAAGAGAAAGAAACACAAAATGGTTAAGGGTGAGTGAGGGTGAGCCTCAGTGTGAATAATATGTCCATTCATCCCCGTACGCACAGGAGGAGAGGACAGAGAGACAGGAAGTCCGTCGGACCAGCTCACTGCCAGCAGGGAGTACATAGGCGAGAAGAGGGGGGGTGATACGGAAAAACAACTACAGGAAGCATGCGTATGTGTTTGAGTAACACAGAGTGAGGGAGGATGGTGGGGGGATTGGACTTAGGCGTGTGCATATCTTCAAATGAAAGGAGCTGAAGAAAAACAGGCAGCAATGGAGTTCACTAATATAACCACCTGGACCCAACGCAGAAAGGAAAAGAGGGAGAAAGCTGAAGGAGAAAAAAATGGGTCAAGGGTTGAACGGGGGGTGTGGGGTAAAAGTTTTTTATTTTATTTTTATTTTTTCAAAGACAGCTGAATGGGTAGGTACTGAAATGTCAGGTTGCAGGTAGTGTTTCCTAATAAGATTCTTTAACAGGGTGGAATCTATTAGTTCCAGACATGTCTGCTTCAGTGAACACACACACCAGCAAGTGGAAAGGGGGGGTAAAGGAAAAGATAGAATTACAGTACAGTAAATGTTAGAGGGAAAACTATGGCAGGAATGGAAAGATTCCAACCAAAGTCTTTTCCTTGGGTCTGGACGTTTCCTCTAAAAACAAATACGCACACACGCGCATTGACAACACACACAGACACACACATAAAAATTTATACTGGCATTTCCTTTCTCACCCAGAGACTTAGGAAAAATAGTGTCGTCTCATGGATGCAAGTTAACAAGCTTAGCGACTAGAGATGGAAAACCCAGCTGAAGCCAAACCACTGCAAATGTGCTGTGCCACAGAGGAGAGGAGAGCCGGCAGACAGAAAAAAAGGCCCCTCTGAGTCTTGGCTGGGTATGAATAAGTAAAAGAGGGGAAATTTCGGAGGACTAAAGTCACTGACATATTTCTAGTGCTCTAGAAATTTTATTTTGAAACAAATTTCTTAACTGAGGAAAGAGGGCAGCATTCAGGATGGAGACAGAGAAAATCATATTGCTTTTATTATCATAAAGGCAATAGCTAGTAAGTAAGAAAAATAATCCTTTATATTGCATTACTGTAAGGATTTGATAACATTAGAGGCAGTAATGTCAAAGATGATATAGTTGTAAACAGCTAATTCACCATTA